CCTAGCCCACAGTTGACTGTTATGCCCTGTGCCCATCTTCGTGCTATTCGGCCTCTACCTTTCTGACCAGCCACCATGCCCTCTGATACTGTTCTTTCCAATCCAATGTCGCTTGATATGTCCAAATTATTTCAGTTTCTGAGACAAGAGGCAGTTTACGAGCCACATTTTCTTTGGCCTTCGGTTCTTTTAGGACTTACAATATTTCTTTTCTTCTTGGTTCATGGTATTCTGAGAAACCTATAGCAATAAGGCTCACCCCCCCATTTTCTTCTTTGTAATGAGACAGTTCATAATCTCTCATCTATATTTTGCTACAGGAAAAATGCATGTTCTCAAAATTGTTGACTTTGATCGGCTTCCTGATGTATAGCCAAAGATTGCTAATGCTGTTCAGTGTTGGAAATATTCAAGACAACTGTGACTATGCTTATAAATAAAAATAAAACCATTAAGTTTCCTAGATTAAAAGAGGAAAGACAAGGAAAAAAAAAGTAATAACATAAATTTAAAACAAATGTATGCCTAGGTCATTAAGATTGATGTTTAAAAATTGACCATATCTACAAATAAATTGGCTGTGCGTGCAGGTGGGCCTCCTGTATTTCTCTGACCAGGAGTATTCTCGTCAACATCTTGTCCATGGTGTGGCTGTCAATTGACTTGGCAGAGTACCACACGGGGCTGTCTGGAACACAGGAGCGTTCCGGGACAGGGTAAAATAAGTCGTTCCGGTTCCTTATAGCCTCTGGGCTGTGAAACAGAAGTGTGAAAACACATTGCAGTTAATCAAACATTGCTTAAACCTGATATATAATTTTTTTTTGTGGGGGAGGTTTTTTCCGGCTTTTTCACCCCATCTGGGGTGCTTTGAGATTTGGTAGTGTCTTAGGGAGTTCCCTAGACAGTCCAATAGTTTAAAGAAGTTTGGGTTAGCATTAGTTACCGCCTCCTCTTCTTCTTTCATTCGCCTCAAATAGATTATCTGTATCTGCAATTTTGTTTCTAGTATGAACTTCACTGTCATGTGTAATTCAGTCAGCAACCCCTTTGTGGACTGGCACCTGAAACAACAGATCACATCCTTCAAGACTGTCCCAGATTCAACGCTTTCAGGCAAAACCTTTGGCCAAAAGAGACACTTGTGGAAGTCAAACTTTACGGGCCGCTTAGTGAATTACAAAAGACAGTGAAATTCATACTAGAGACAGCTTTGCAGATATAGACAATTTATTTCATGCGAACGAAAGAAGAAGAAGAAGAAGTCAGCAACCCGTGAAGTTCGGCTTGAACCAGTGCCTTAGAAAGGCCATTTTAGGGTGGCGGCATGAGAGAGCCCTGAAAAGGACAGACAGTCTCCATGCATGTTTCTTGTTGATTAGAGATAGGGTTAGATGCAGCAATGCTGACAGGTCAAGGAAATTCATGGCGAAGACAAAAGTCAAGAAGCAAAAACACTGCTTCCAAACAGGGCACAGTGCCGGCAAGGAACAAACGAATGTAACACACACTGGACATGATAATGCAATAAATGACGAAAACGCTAAAAACAACCAACATATGACACCCCTTGAATACAGGAGTTTTAGGGTTAGTGTTGAATGAACACCTACCAACACTAACCATCTGTACTATAGAACTGCCCGAAAAACCCAAGGAATTACCAACGAAATCTAGTAGCTCCCGAGATAGGGTGAAACGTGGGGGGAAAAAAACTTTTTTTTTTTCAGTGACATTTGAAAATACTAACAGTCTGTGAATGAACTTTAAACTCTCCCAGCCACTCAACTTATTCTATTGCAGATAAAAGGAAAATTGGAAAGGAAAAGAAGCAGGCACAAAGTAAGAAAGATGATGTTATATAGTCTGGCATCATCATACAAGGAAACCTCTGTCTCTCACCACTTGTTTTCTTAGTGTTCACCGGCTGTAAACTTCGACAGAAAGGCCTGGCTGCTCGTCAACTTTTAGAATCTGAGTGTGCGTGCAAAGCCATTTTACAGATCTGGAGTACCTGCATGCAGTGAACTATTGGTTCCTGGCCTCCCGCGGCAGATACACTTGGACTATAAAGGAAACACCCTAATTAGTCACCTATTATGACATGCTTGTTGAGGGAGGAGCAGTGGATTTATCTCCTCCCCCTCCCCCAAAATCCGGTCTCATAATGGAAAAAAGAAAAAGATAAATTTTTAGTGAAGAACTGCGGCCACATTAAAAGACATTAACTCCTATATAAACCAAACTTAAGGAAAAGTTGACGGCAAGCGAGCAAGAAGTAGACAGGGATACAAGCGGGAGGATATGAAAAGATGGACCAACTGCAGTCTCAGATTAGACAACCAAGATGATAAACAAAGCATGTAGGAGATACTGCAGCCAAACTTCACTGCGCAGACAGATACACGACTGATTAATCAAGAACACATCAACTAAATCCAAAACACTTGGGGGAAAAGAATTCATAGTTTCACAGGACACTGGAGAGGATTCTCAACATTATTAAGACATCCAAGCATAACTATGAGTGCAAAAGAGACAGATTATTAACAGCATATTCATTCCAATATTAGGCTACCAATGCCAAACATGGACAATATCTAAAGCCCATATACGCAAAATCACCACCTGTGAGATGAGGTGCCTGAGAAAAGCAGCCAACCTATACCATCCGAAATCGCGTTAATAATGAAACTATCACGGAAACTGTGGGAACGACACTTTGTACTAGTTTCATTGAGAAACAGCAGATCAAGTGGTTTGGCCATCTCGTTACAATGCAAAAAGATCAAATACCATCACAAGCACGACATCTCATAAGATCAGCTACAAGAGCAAGAGGACAGCGACGGAAAATATGGATCTACAACATTAAAGACTACGCCTTCACGGCATGACAATAGCCAGTGGCAGCCAACTTGCACTGGATCGCAAATTATTCCTCCCTACAACATTTAACGGCAGAAGTGGTTTATGATGATGATGACATCATATAAATCCAAAACACTTACCACTTGGACAAAAAGAATTCATACAGTTTCACAGGACACCGGAGAGGATTCTCAACATTTTCTGTGACCTCATATACTGGAACGCCTTCTTTGCTTTTTTTAGCTACTACACCATCTGTAATTAAATGTGAAAACAATGAAAGAATTTAAAGAGTCCTGGGTAAAATTTAACGTATACAGAAAATTCTTTGCAAATCTTCCCTAGTGACGAGCAATGTGAAAAAAAAGTCTCAGCAAAATTCCATGATTAGCAATGTGTACAGAGAATAGTCTAAATCAGGGCGCCAAATTTAGCATGGATCAACGTCTATACACATAAAGATGATATGTAGACATGATTCTCATATACTTTCATATACAGTACATAGAGATTGAGAGGACATAGCAGAATTCTCATATACAGTAGAAACATCTCATAAGGAGTAATTCACATAAAGAGCAAAACACATTGTAAAAGAATGACTTGCTTAACGAGCGACTTTTCGCATAACGAGTGGCGAAGAGAGGGGAAGTCCTGGATTGTGAGCATGTTACATCAGTCTGTGTTTCGCACTTGTTCCAGTAGCATCGTAACGTCGCTTGTGATCACACATGTTCTCAAACGTGTTATATTGTGATATAATGTACATGAATCCTCCAGGCTACAAGATGACCTTCCTGAAGAATTTAAGTTCATCAAGATCCAGTTTCTGCCTCCCAACACCACTCCTTTACTCCAGCCAACAAGTCTTTCCTCTAAACTAAAGCACTCTTGTGCATTGTTTTCAGGTGACCCATGGACCAACTCAAGATGAAAAATCACTTCCTAAGAGAATTTAAACTTCATCAAGAAGAAGCTTTTTCTGCCTCCGGAACACCGACTGTGACTTTACTTTGAGCCCTATGGAACCAACAAGTCATTTGTCTAACTTTCAAGATAACAGTGATATCGACACAGCCAAAGCACCACTTGTGCATGGAGTGCATTGTGTTACACGGCAAGAAGTTTTGGAGAAAAGTTTGTCAAGGACCAACAGAAAAGCACTCTCAAAGAGAAATTGGAAAAGATTCACTTCCACATCCAAGAGAAACCAAACTTCTGCTTGGAAGAAGCTTTGGCCGCAGAGGGTGTCGAATGTGACTTTAAAGGGTTTGAGACAGTACCTCTGGAACCTGCAGTCAACAAGATTGTGTCTTTGGCCACTCTCATAGGATTGTAGGTGGATAACAGTGATATCGAAGAGCTTGCGGAACAGCACAGTCAAGAGCTGACCACCAAAGAGCTTATGGAGTTGCATTGTGTTTCACGGCAAGAAGTTTTGGAGAAAAGTTTGTCAGAGGAGGAGGAGGAGGCGGCAACAGAAAAGCAACAATCTTCTGGCGAAATAAGAGAAATGCTAAAAGATTGGGGACACAGTTGCATCTTACATTGAGAAGCATCACCCAAATAAGAGAGTGGCTATGCGCGCTGCAAATTTATTTAAGGATAATGCTGTGTCACATTTTTTGCCAAATTTTGTAGCGTCAGCAAAAACAAATGTCTCTGGACATCTTTCTAGTAAAAAATATTTATTCATCATAATTATTTCGACCTTTTTTTTCCTGCAAATCAAATTTGCATTCCAGGTGGGTTCGTTCCGTGGTGGAAGAAAAGATGAAGATGATTCACTCTGCTTAACAATATGTATATAATTTTCTTTGAATAAACGTTATACATAACATTTTGCGAGTGTTTTTTTCGAGATGGAACGTATTATCGTATTTTATATTAATTTATATGAGAAAAAATGTTTCGCATAACGAGCGTTTCGCTTTAAGAGTATGATTCTGGAATGAATTATGCTTGTTAAGCGAGGTTCCACTGTACACAACAGACACAGCAACAATTCTCATTTATACATACGGACAAGCAGAATTCCCATATACAAATACAGACGTAGAATTCCTCTGTATACATGCAGACACAAGCAAACAGGACAGAATTTACAGAGAAGAAAGAGAAAAGCTCACCCTTTTTCCCATTGGTCACACAGTAGAATCTCAACGAGACATTTTTAGCAATCGCAACAGGCTGGCCCTTTAGGGGCACACCTTTCTTCCAGTGCTTTAGTATCTGTGCGAAAGAGAGGGCCATGTGATCTTGGACTGTCTTGAGGATGAAGTACTTGGTGTGGAAGTATACCAATGTGTTCAGTAGAACAAAAGGAGAATGGGCCCCAAGTTGCTTGCTCTCCCACAAGTGCTCTTCTTCAATACGACACAGCATCTGACCTGGTGACACAGCAAGCATTTCTAAATCAAAGCTCAAATATGAAAGGTACGGGATGCAGTAGTTATCTCAGGGGTGGAACAGAAGAGTAGGCTCTCAGCCTTGGTTGGCAGCTGGTCTAGGAGTTATATTTCTAATGTAATGTTAGTTGGGTGAATTTCAAAGACAAATGTGTTTACACCTCCTGGCTGTCTTTAGGGGGGGGGGGGGGGGGGGGGGGGCATCAGACTCACTACCCCCTAGCAGGCATGTTATATAAGATAACTAATTAAGGATGTTTCCTTTGAAGTCAGAATGCATCTGCCTAAGAGGCAAGAAACCAAAATCTGCCTACAAATAAGCCAGATCTGTCAAATAAATGCGCATGCAAAATTCAAGTTCTAGGATAGAAGTGGACGACAACCAGAATGTTTTGCTGGATTTTACAGCCGGTGAACGCTAAGAAGAAGATTACTGAGAATATGCAACATCTCTAAAATGATTACAGTGTTCTGATTCCCATTTGGTTCTAAGTTACTTATAATAAACCCCTTGACATCATCACAGCTTAAATTAAAATTGCAGTCTATGTGCTCTCTCCAGAATGAAGCTTGGCTACAGTGTAACCACTGTTGACCTTAAGAATAGGATCACACAGTTAGACTGAGGGAAAGCTATTAACTCACTCAGACTACCACAAGACTCTTCCCACCCGAGGTCAGTTCCGTAGAGATCACACCTTCCCCACACAACTCGGGGAGTTTGCAGCCACCTGTGAATAGCATGCAACCTCTGTTACACAACTTTAAGTGGCTCAAGTGTTTACATTCCCAACCTGTCACACAAAGCCCTGGTTTCATTAACTCTTTATACCCCACAGTGATTTTGCACACAACAGTGGTGATGCCAAAATTGTTTCCACAATATGATTGACGCTACTGTCTGAAAACAGTGAGAGCGATTTTCCCACATACACAAACGTTAAAAACCTGTCCGCAATGGAAACCGAACCATGGTACTCTAGGATCATGCAATTGTTATACTTTTTCACTAGTCTATAAGCCATAGAGCCATCATCAGTTATATCTGCTACAATTTGAGGGAGTCTTTCCCCCCCAAAGTGCACTTTACTATATTTTTTAAATCACCATAAACCACTTCTGCCATTGAGCATCATAGGGCAGAATAATTTGCAATCTTGTGCACACTGGCTGGTACTGGCTATTGTCATGTCGTGAAGGCGCAAGGTGTCTTTAATGTTACTGATCTGTACCTTTCGTGGCTGACCTCTTGCTTTTGTAGTTCATCTTCTGAGGTATAGTGCTTATGATGGTATTTGATGTTGCTGCAGTCAAACAAGATTACCAAACCACTTGATCTGCACAGTTCTCAATTAATCTAGTATAAGGTGGTGTTACCACAATCTTTCTGATAGTATCTTTATTCACTCAATCTTGGATGGTTAGGTTTTTCTTGGGCATCCCAATTTACATAATTTTTCAATAATGTGAGCAAAAACAACATACTGCCCAATTTATTGCCAGGTATATTATGTCAGGTGCATACTATAGAATTTACATAAACATAAACTGAAGCAGAAAAATGAATCCTTTCAACTGATCACATCCCAGTATTGGTTCCGAGGCTGACTTTTGGAAGGAACAAAAAAAAACATGCATGACCCTTGCAGCGTGGCTGTCAACTACAGAACAACATCCAAATTACTGTTGTAAGAGTAAAAGCAGAAGAGCTGATTACAGAGTCCAGTGATAGCCGTAGGGGGTTGGGTGGTCTCAGGTTCAAACCCAAGTGAAGGCTGGGATTTTTTCATGTGACTTTCTACTTATTTCCCCTAGTCTCTGGGTAGTAAAATCAGACGACAGTGTGTATTACTGCGCACGTTAAAAAAAAATCCCTTGGCAGTTGGAAACTAAAAAGAATTTTGGAGTTAAAAATCTACCTACTATAACTATTTCAGGATCCTCACCAATGCTACGGAGTTTGTGCACTGTGCTGAGATTCTTCGGAATCAGGCTTGAGTCATGTTGATCCATAACCTAAACCTAGTGCTACAATGTACAGTTCATAATGGAAATCTTACCATGTTTGTTCATCTTTGGTTGCAGAGTTTTCAGGATTTCATTCAAGCGATCTGTGAACTTCTCAAAATATGGATCTGAAAATAGGCTATCAATCCTCCCGTTTTCATACAGGTACTGCTGGATACCTGTTGACAGACCATTGTGAAAATATGTGTATGCAAAAAAGAAACTATGAAAATCTTTAATTAATTTTATTACACTTTTAGTGTTGAAACTATCTATCTGTCTATTGCTGTTAAGCATCGCAATCATGGTTAATGATCAGTTTCCAGGATGGTGCCGTTTGTTAGCTTGCAGCATGGTGATAGAGTTGAGTTTCAGCAAACTGTTAATTCAACTATCAATTCTTTCTTTCCCTTTCTCTTTCTCTTGATACACCTTCTACCTAAGCAAAGATTTTAAAAATGCTAACACAGATACATCCCTGATGCAAACAAAGATAATAAATGCTAGCACAGATACATGCTTTACCTAAACAAAGATAAACAAATCCCTGGCCGAATAAATGATAATAGCACACAGATACATCCTTTACCTAAACAAAGATAATAAATGCTAGCACAGATACATCCTTTAGCTAAACAAAGATAATAAATGCTAGCACAGATACATCCTTTAGCTAAACAAAGATAATAAATGCTAGCACAGATACATCCCTTACCTAAACAAAGATAATAAATGCTAACACAGATACATCCCTGATGCAAACAAAGATAATTAATGCTAGCACAGATACATCCTTTAGCTAAACAAAGATAATAAATGCTAGCACAGATACATCCTTTAGTTAAACAAAGATAATAAATGCTAGCACAGATACATCCTTTAGCTAAACAAAGAATGCTACCAAAGATGCTATCCTTTAGCAAACAAGATAATTTCCACAGATACCTAAACAAAGATAATAAATGCCATCACACATAATTTCCTTACCTAAACAAAGATAATAAATGCTATCACACATTATTTCCTTACCTAAACAAAGATAATAAATGCTATCACACATAATTTTCTTACCTAAACAAAGAAAATAAATGCTATCACACATAATTTCCTTACCTGCTAAATGCTATCACACATAATTTCCTTACCTAAACAAAGAAATAAATGCTATCAAACATAATTTCAAAACAAAGATAATAAATGCTATCACACATAATTTCCTTACCTAAACAAAGATAATAAATGCTATCACACATTATTTCCTTACCCAAACAAAGAAAATAAATGCTATCACACATAATTTCCTTACCTAAACAAAGAAATAAATGCTATCACACATAATTTCCTTACCTAAACAAAGAAATAAATGCTATCACACATAATTTCCTTACCTAAACAAAGAAATAAATGCTATCACACATAATTTCCTTACCTAAACAAAGAAATAAATGCTATCACACATAATTTCCTTACCTAAACAAAGAAAATAAATGCTATCACACATAATTTCCTTACCTAAACAAAGAAATAAATGCTATCACACATAATTTCCTTACCTAAACAAAGAAAATAAATGCTATCACACATAATTTCCTTACCTAAACAAAGATAATAAATGCTATCACACATAATTTCCTTACCTAAACAAAGAAAATAAATGCTATCACACATAATTTCCTTACCTAAACAAAGATAATAAATGCTATCACACATAATTTCCTTACCCAAACAAAGATAACAATTGCTATCACACATAATTTCCTTACCCAAACAAAGATAATAAATGCTATCACACATAATTTCCTCATCCAAACAAAGATAATAAATGCTATCACACATAATTTCCTTACCCAAACAAAGATAATAAATGCTATCAGGGGAGTACTCATTGCCGCTGGGTTTGCGTACTTCGTCAACAAACATGCACATGGATGTATTCAGCTCATCCACTGTACACTTGAGAATATCAGTGGGGAACGTTCTTGCCCGAACATTCATCTGTGAGACTGAGTTCTCAATCTGCATATTTTTGCTGATCACCCAGTGCCGCCAGGCATTTAGGCCATACGTGAACTTGAGGCGGTAGTTGACATCAGGAGGCTCCGTCTAGGTAAAATGACATTTGCATCATTTGTATGCATATGTGGGTGAGATGAAAGAACAAAAATATAACTGACATAATTTTATGTATGTGTGTTACGAGAAAACTTATAATTCAGTAAACAGGAGTAACAGTTGAGTGTTAGCCAACACCTTTCTGTCTTTACAGACAACAGCGTTACATTGTGCTTAAAGGAAGTCATGGAAATCACATGGGATCCCATTGTGGGGCAAACAAGAACAGACCCACTGTTGTTAGAGTAAACTAATTGGGGTTCCTTTAAAGTCAAAATGCAACAGCGTGAGAGGCAAGGAACCAACAGTTTGCAGACAAATAAGTCAGATCTGTAAAATGGGTGCATGCAACACTTCGGGTCTGGGTCAAGTCTTAAGTCCAGAGGTGGACGAACAATCAGAACTTTCTGCCTGAGTTTACAGTTGGTGAACGCCAAGAAGAAGAAGAAAACTAGAAAAAGAAGAAAAGTAAAGGACAGGGATGAAGTTCCTCCTCTTCGCAGCACAAATCCTTGGCAGTATTACAGAAACCATAGGCTGCCCATGCAACATGATCCCTGTCTTGGCCTGCTTTGTCAACCCCAAAGAATAAAGGAAACAAAAATATGTTTGGAATAAAGCATGCTGCTGGATCAGGAGCAGCAGGGCTCTGTCCCTCTACCTGTAAGACATTCCCTCCTAGACCAGCTGCCAGTCTAGGCTAAGGGCCTGGTCTGCCCTGCCATAACATCAAGTTTTCAGGTTGTATTTCCTCATTCTAGGATAAGGCTGATATCCTCCTCGGTGTGGCTCCTCCACCAGAAGCCGCCAACACAAGTGGCATGTATGTCAGGTATGCAGCTCAAAACTGGCCACTAACAGAGAACAGTCAATGCCGACTACTGTTACATGGTAACTCAGTCATATCTGACCAAGTTCTGGCTCTGAATCTCTATTACTGAATCTCCCATAAGGGGCGTATGATGGTTAGCTATATACATATACAGGGATTTCCGACCAAAATGGCAGATAGCTAGTTGATGCTCTGAAAAGTTGTTTCCAACTAAGTTTTGCTGATGCAAATTCCTCACTTCTGGACCGGGAGTCAAAAGGTTCTGTCGCCCAGCCACTGAGTGCTTGGTGTGACACTGTGAGTTCTGAAATTAATGCAGAATATTTTTGGTTGTGCCCATGCCATGTTGTAGACTTCACTAAAATGGTGATCAGCTGGTTACGCTTAGAATGACATGCACCTTTGGGGGTACAATGCCGACTTTCATAATTGACCATCTGCTCTAACAGTGAGCTGTAATTCTATTCTAGTGTGGGAACGGTAGTGTTGGCCCATCCAACAGCTGCCTTATGCATTTTAACTTTGCTTGTGCAAGTTTTAAGCTTTTGCTGGGACTAACAAGTTTTTCCACTAGTTATAAAATGGGATAGGGAAGGACGTTTTGTGTAATTTACACTAGGACAGGAATGAAGCAGTTATGGCACGACCTGTTTACAGTCATGTTGGAACCTCGACAATTGGGGAAGTCAATCACAAACAGTTGGCAGATTTGTGAGAAATAATGTAGAAGCTGCTGAGATATGGTTTTTGTAGAAGGATGAGAACACAGATAACAAGTGTATGAAGATGTCATAAAAGAAATTAATTCGCCCAAGGAAAAAAAAAGATCTTTTGGGTGTGTCATAATAAGGGTTAGGGAACTGGAGTGTGTCGTAACAACAGGAAAGATGTTTACTCAGGGGCCAAAATTTTGAAACTGGGGATTGTCACAGGCAGGAGGCCCAAGCCCAAGCACTGAAAGATTATTAATACAATATATAGCTAGAAACAATCTGCATGCCGCTTGCTAGAGGTACATGGGTCAACTTGACTTGCTCTGGTGTAAAGAAACAATTGTTTTTTTAAAAAATGGCAGTAACACTTCTTCTTTTTTTAGCATTCATCAGCTATAAACTCCCGCGGAAAGTTCCTGGCTGTTCATCCACTTTTCGACTCTGGCCTTGTTCCAGGACTTGCATGCACATCCACATTTTACAGAACTGGCTTATTTGTGTGCAGACTGCTGGTTCCTTGCCTCTCAGGCAGATGCACTCCAACTCCAACACTGTGAGCTGCGTTTGTTTTTCGTTGGCACAGGAGCGAGCGGAGCATCTGTGGGGTGACCCGTTTGCTATGAAGCTGAAACTAGCATTACCAGATTACCAGATTACTCCAACTTCAAAGTAAACACTGATCCGCTCAACATTGACCAGGCACCTGGTATGGAACCTAATTCATAGGATGACCACAGTGAGGTGGATAAGTCTTCCCCAGTATGTCATGGTGCACCACCACCTGTGGCTCAGCACCTCTGTATCCCAGCAGTTACATGTGACAAAAGGCTGTGGACAGACATGATGACCGTCTTACAGGTCAAGATCTTTTCTCCCACGACTGGTACATCAGGCATAATAGTGCTAGGCCCATAATTCTTATGGTTTCTAGCTTTCACTTGCTGTAAACTCCATCGGTAAGTTCTGGTCATTTATCCTCTTCTTAACCTTAGTATTCTTCCAGAAACTGGGTTAAGCATGCACATCCATTTCAAGATATGGCTTATATGCATGCAGACTGTTGGTTCCTCGCCTCTTAGGTAGATGCCCGCTGACTTTGAAGGAAACGCCCCTAATTAGTTGACTTTCAGAACATGCTTGTCTGGGGGCAGTGGGTCTATTCTTTGGTCCCCGCCCCCCAAATGGGGCACAGAATCCACACAGGGCAAACTCATAAATAAATAGACTAGTCTTCACCATCTGGTGATCCTGGGGTCTGTGAAACAAATTTTAAATGGTCCGTGATATTTACCACACACAAAATCTCAACTTTTGAATACAGCCCTTCTGCGTTTGTAATATTTAAAATTATAATAACTTCTTCTGTTAAAATAGCTGCGCTTCCTTTACAGGTTGTTGAAGAACCAACTTTTGGCTGTTTGTGATTTTACTAGGCAATTTTTATATTAAATAGTTAGCCAAAGCTTCCAGAGCAATTATTTAGACATCTACCTTGATGTAATTCAAACGCAAGACTTATAGGCCGGGAGGCAAGCCTCCAGCCAGCCGCAGCACTATTTCAGCTCCCAATGACATACAGTATAGTCCTCTTCTTCCTTCTTCTTAACATTCACTGGCTGTAAACTCCAACGGAAAATTGTGGTCGTTCCTCTACTTCTGGTCTTTGGTCTTTTCCTGAAACTTGAGTTTTGTATGAACATTTGTTTTACAATCTGCCTTATTTGTATGCAGACTGTGGTTTCTCACCTCTTGGGCAGATGCACTGCAACTTCAAAGAAAGCAACCAAAATTAGTCGCCTTTTACAACATGCCTTCAGGAGAAAGGGAGGGCGCAGTGGATCTACATCCCCCTCCCTTCCCAAATGGGTCCCTGGCATCCACACAGATGGTACAGACTTTAAAAAAATAGTTTACATACCAACACCGATAAATACATTGATTTGTGCTCACCGGCTGAGATTGTGAAGAGGGTCCTGGCTGTTTGGTGAAATCATCCTCAGATGTTCTGTCTGTGCGCTGCCGCTTTGGTCGAGCTGATGGTGGCCGTCCTCTGTTTGACCTTTTGGCTCCACGACCTCGACCAGTTTGACGTGGAATGTAATCATCATCATCGTCATCATCTTCGCTGTGGTATGGCTCGACTTTCTTGGGCTGCTGTCCCGGACGATCTGAAACATTCACAATTTACTCAATGTCAAATAAGTCTATTGCTGTGGGCAGTGATTAATTTTCTTACCTCCCAAAACTGTGTGCGGGAAAAAATGTCTGGAACTCTGAAATTCGCCCCGCCCCCCCAAATCCTTCCCTCCACATAAACACAAAAAAATCATAGGTCACTAAAAACATTTTTAACATTTATTGCTATACAATTTGAACATTTTTTTAAAATGACAAATGAAGGAGAAAATAAATGAAATTAATGGAGTAGAGAATTAAATGTTTACATTTCCTGAAACCTAAAAAAAAAAAAAAAAAAAAATTTTGACACTGACTCGCACAGTGACCCCTAATTACTTAAAGCTAAGAAAAAGCTACTTAAAAAGTCACATTTTCATAATAACACCACCCGCCCAATGTTATTTTTCAGTAAAATAAAACAAATCCGGACACCTAAACAGTGCGCATGCATAAACAGAATACATGCTGATAAACAGGCTTATCTGGGACTGATCAAATGTAGCAATGCTGGTAAAGCACCTTCTCTGGGAATGGTAACAGGTGGAAATGCCAGGTCACCATGAAACAAGTTACAAATGCACTGTTTCGTCAAGCTTGCGGCTCACTACATCCAGTTTCAACAATCATTATTTCAGATTTAATTTCTCTGATCTTGGACTGTACCCCAGTCTACCTGCAGGGCAACAGGTATGTGTCCCTCTCCCATGACGTATCCGACATGGGGAGATCCTATTAGTAGTTAAGCTACTGTTAGTTTAGTTCTTGGGGGTTCCTAAAACATACAAGCTATTATACCATTGCAATGACGTAACCACATGTACACAAAATTCAAGATAGGTGTATCAGCCATGTGCACCTGTGGAAAGGTGCCCCAGACAGCAGAGCATGTACTCCAGGACTGCACCAAATTTGACACATTAAGGCAAATCTTTTGGCCAGAAAGAACAACAGTGGAACGTAAACTCTATGGACCACTGAATGAACTAACAACGACAGTGAAATTTATACAAGACAAAACTGTTGATATAGACAACTTATTTCAGGCGAACGAAAGAAGAAGAAGAAGAAGAAGAAGAAGAAGAAGAAGCAAAAGAATACCATTGCAGAATGGAGGCACACATCACAGGGAAGATTTTAAATTTTTGCAGTGGATTTCACGCTCCCCAAAACATGTCATACAAGGCAGCTAATTAGAGGTTTTTCCTTCAAAGTGAAGTACAACTGCCTGAGAGGTGAGAAACCAACAGTCTGCACATAAAAAATAAGCTGGATCAATGGATGTGCAAGAGTAATGACCAAAAGTGGACAAACAACCAAAACTTTCCCCCAGAGTTTACAGGCAGTGAAGGCCAAGTAAAAGAATATACAAGTTTGAAACTTTTCTTGAAGCAGCCTGCGGTAGTAATAATGATTCTGTCATACATATTCAGACTTTCTATTCTGTGCAGGCACCAGTTAACTGGAGTTGTGTAAGTAAATGTCATAATTCACAGGGCCCAAACAGTAGGTTAAATAGATTTATGGATGAGCTGATGATGTCATAATTTACAGGACCAAATAGTGGACTGAATGGGTTTATGTATGAATCAACTGAAGATTGAGCTGAGCGGATTCATGTAACAATGTGTTGAACAAACACAGTGGACAGCGTTTATGCCATAATTAAATGGGGCAGGAGGTTTGAGTTAGTGAGTTAATATAATGACCATAAAGTGAAAAGATTACCTGTTTTAATAGTAAGAGGTTCAACTGATGTTTCTAGATCCTCTATAGGACCTGACATTTCTTCTGCCATCCGCAAAGCCAACTGTAGCATGTCTTCGTCTCCACATTCTTTTGTCCTTGCTGTTGATGATGATTCATTCTCACTCTGAGCCAGGCTTTCATTTCCCCCTGTTTAAAAAAACAAAATGTTTCTTCAGGTGATGGGTAATGGACTTGCAGCGTCACTTTGATCAATAAATGCTTTAGTCCCCTCCCATTAATCACAAAAAGATAATTTCAGAACAGTGCTCAAACTTAACTTTACTGGGTACATATGAGTGAAAAGAATACATCAAATCTGAAATATATTAATACTCTTAACAATCAAGTCATAAAACTCTAGTTTCTGCCTTATTTACCACTTGTGTGTGTGCATTTGTTTGGGAGACAGTAGATCTATTCTTATTTTCTATTTTTAAAAATTGGACCCAGGAACCCACACTGGAGGGTTTTGTTTTCAAAACTGCAGACGTTAACAGATTACACAACACAAATTTAATGAAAAGACTAATAAAATATAAGAGGTGTACAAACATGAAGTTGAATAAAGAAATTGGCATCACGCTAGACAGGCAGAAGAGAAAAACAAAGTTTGCGAAAAGCTTAACAATTTTCTGACAACAAACGATCAATTGGATAATGACAACTTTGAATGTCTCCTCTAGCTCAGGCATCTTTTTTTATTTATTCTTTGCGTTCATCAGCTGTAAACTCTGGCGGAAAGTTTCTGGTTATTCATCCGCTTCAGGATTACATTCTCGTTCCAGAACTTGAGTTTTGCACGCAAATCCTATTTACAAGGTTTTTGTTTTTGTATGCAAACTGTTAGTTCCTGGTCTCTCAGGCAGATGCACTGCGATTTGGAAGGAAACCCCTGACTTGTCGACTCTCATGATATGCTTGTCAGGAAGGCAGTGGGTGTGGGTCCATTCTTCCTTTTACCTACAACAGGTCTCCAGAACCCTCAGAGGAAGCTCAGATATGTGAAGAGAGAAAGAAAAGAAAGAAGGAGAAAGGGAAGGAGAAGGAGGTGATTAAGAGAGGTAGGGGGGAAATGAATGATGAGAAGAGGAGGAAAAGGAGAGGATGACGAGAGGGAAAAAAAAAAAAAAAGAAAGAGGAAGAAGAAGAAGAAACACATAAACTACAAAGATTGAGTATTCAGTCTGACCGATTGGATCTTCAACAGCTGCTTCAGCTTCTGAATCTGTGTCACTGTTACCAGGTGTCTTGTCTCCAGCCACAGCCTCTGCCATCTGCAAAAGTTCTGCTTCTAATGGATCTGCTGGTATACGCTCAACAATATCCTGTCAGAATATAGCAAAGTTAGAATAACATGCAGGAACACACACAAAAACTTAAACTATATACAAAATGTCTGTTAATTTTCTCTTACGCCTACACACCTTGGCACAAAAGCTCATGTTTGTCATTGTCAACCTCCTCATTGACTCCTAACTATGAACATGCACAGCAGCATTCCTTCACAAATACAGATCAATTTTAAAACCTGCTTCAGTTTCCCCACAGAAGATCTGGTGGAGAATACTCCAGTTGCTATCTCTATTTACAAGTAAAGCAGAACTCAATACAGATACTGAGTAAACGCCTTTAGATCCCAAATTTCTTCTTCTTCTGCCCCCCACCCCTTTTTTTTCAGTTAAGCATAGAGACCCCTAGTAAAACACAGACCTTCAATTCCCCATCCTTAGCCTATGCGCGCAGATCCCCAAATGTCCTCTCTATTTTTTTTTAAATTCATTTTCCAATTCTCTTCTCCAGGTATTTACTGATGGTCTACCTTTATTCCATTTGCTGTGCGTTCCAGTGCAAGAGAATTAATTATCTCATTAAATTTTCTCTTAAAGAGTTCACATATTTAATTTTTCTTCCGCTCCCGCATGTGCCATTAAAAGGATGGTTGGCACATTGTGTTGTGGTTTACAGCTAGACTATGGTTTGACATCTGATTTCAGCAAATCCTTATTTGTCACTTTCACAAATGTTGGTTAAAAAGCAGTGGGTATCTTCCTTTCTCCTCTCCAAAAATGAGATGCTGGAATACACACAGGGAAATATTTCTACAATACTTTACAGCTTGCTGCTGTAAAACACTGACACTGTCTTCTTCTTCTTCTTCTTCTTCTTGGCACTCACCAACTTTAAACACCAGCAGAAGTTCTGGTTGTTGATCCACTTCTGGACTTTGGTCTTGTTCCAGAACCTGAGTTTTGCATGTACGTGTTTTACAGACTTGGCTTATTTGTGTGCAGACTGTTGGCTCCTCACTTCTCAGGCAGATGCACTCTGACTTTGAAAGCAGACAGCCTAATTACTCACCTTGTATGGCATGGCTGTTAGGGAAGGCTGTGAGTCTATTCAACCCCCCCCCCCCCCCCCCAAATGGGTGCTCCTGGACCCATATACAGAACAGTCAACTAGTTAGCACACATACCTGGATGGTTCTGCAGACTCCAGTGATAGACTTTCTAGTGGTCGGGAGGAAAACAGGCACCGGGATGGGAATGGGGATGGGGACAATCTTTGGGGCAGGTGCTGTGAACATCACTGTGGGCACGGGGATGTAGACAGGCACTGGTACAGGTATCAATATTGGCTGCATGGGAACTTCATCTAGAATCAAGCAGAATTTAATGAACAATCAAAACTAACAACTAACTCAGATAAACAAAAGAGTTATACAGAAGGAGCATAATATCAACTGAAACCAAAACAGCACTTACCAACATGTGTCATAACCAATGCCAAACATGAACATTAGCAACAAATAGAAGAAAATCAATTAAAACATAAGAAATGAAATGGTTATTTTCAGTGTCAGTTCTGGGGCCCCATTGTGGGGAAAACAAAAACAGACCATCAGCCTCATCAACAAGCATGTCGTCATCGTAAGAGTTGACTAATTAGGGGCTTCCTTTGAGGACAGAGTATATCTGTCCGAGAGGCAAGGAACAACCAACTGTACTTAAGTAAGCCAGTAAAACCGACATACACACAAAACCCAGGTCCTGGCATGAAGCCAAAGTTCTAATGGACGAACAGTCAGGGCTTTTCAATGCAGCTTAGAGGTGCTGAACAAAGCAGAAGAAGAAATGATTATGGTGAATCTTAAATGGAATAAAAAGAGCCAGATTCAATAAAGGACTAGATCAGGACAAAAAGCGACACTGGTACAAGAGAAGTAGTACTGCAGGTCTTCCAGGCAAGCAATGGACAGCCAGACTATGCCAGGCACCACCCCCTACGTAGCACTCACCAAGACATCTTCAAAACCTGACACTTAAAGGCAGAAAAGAGTAAAAAGTAAATAGTGATTCGGCAAAGGTACTATGCAGCATAAGTGGCTTAGGGTTATGAATACCTCATAATTCTGACATACTGGATACAATTCAGCTGCAGGCCACTTTGCGTAGATTGCTATGACCATAAAACTTTAGAGTGCAATGGAATACTACCCAACGCAAAATCATCTAGTAAAAATTACAAACAGCCAATGTCTTCTTTTTTTTTCTGGAAAAGATGTGTGTGGGGGGGGGGGGGGGTGTTTCGCCCTTGAAAGGGCAGCTGACATGTTCTGTTGTGGTTAGGCTGCAAGATCTGCACCTTTCTGCCTTGCGGAAACCTTTAATTAATCACCTTTTATGAAAAGTATGATGAGGGGCAATGGGCCTCTACTTTTCTTCACCCAAAACAAGGTCCTACAACCTGCACATGTTAAGATATAGCATACAAGGATAAGTCAGTTAAATGCTTGATGTGAACATCAGCATAGCACAAGTTGAACTGTTACCTGTTTCTTCTTTGAATTAACTGGCTGGAAACTCTGGCAGAAGGTTCTGTCTGCTCATCCACTTCTGGACTTGAGTCTTGTTTAAGAACTTGAGTTTTGCATGCACATCCAGATTTGGCTTATTTATATGCAGACTGCTGGTTCCTTGTCTCAAAGGCAGATGCATTTCAGCTTCGAACGAAACTGTCCAAATTGGTTGCCTTTTTTTAACGACATGTTTGTTAGGGAGTAGTCGATCAAGCTCCTTAACCCTCATAGGGAAATATGACATATGAAGATTATCTGGTTAAATGATTGCTGTGAAAAATCAGTACTGCAGAGGTTGAATTTTTACCTGTTTGAACCTCCTTGTTTTGAGAATGTGGCCGGCATGAGGTGGCTTTTGTTAGCATGACTGGCCGACACTGCAGTGACTTATTCTTTGAAAACTTTGGGACTGCTGCTTGAATGATTATCTGGTGCCTACCATCTCCAGAAGGAACCATGCTGTCCACATGAGTCTGGAGAGCAGATATTTCATCTTAGCATCCTCATCCAACAATCACTTCATAGCCTCCTTACCCAACAATCACATTATAGCCTCCTCGCCCAACAATCACAGCTTTCTCACCCAACAATCACATCATAGCCTCCTCACCCAACAATGACATCATAGCCTCCCCACCCAACAATCATATCATAACCTCCTCACCCAACAATCACATCATAGCCTCCTCACCCAACAAGCATGTTTACCTAGCACAAATATTGTAGAGTAAATCAAACTACCGCTAGTTCTGGGCTGAGGTAATTTATTTACTTCTTCTTCTTAGCATTCACCAGCTTCGAACTCTGGAAAGCTGTGGTTGTTTGTCCACTTCTTGACTTTGGTTTTGTTCTAGAACTTGAGTTTTGATTGCACATGTTTTAAAGATGTGAATTAATGTATGCAGAACATTGGTTTTTCACCTCTCAGGCAGAGACGTGATAAAGAAATAGATAAATAGCGCGGTAAATGAGATAGCTTGGTCAAGAATGAGACCCAAAAAACCTTGTAAAAAATGAGATAAACATATGGTAAACAATGAGATAAACAGCCTGGTAAAGGATAAGACTGTTACAAAATTAATCAAGTCAAAGGTTAATAACCTGATACAAAAATACATCAGTAGCTGTTCATATGTGAGGGGAGTCGCTATGGTGGAGCAGCTAAATGCTCACCTGGACTCAAAGGTCATGGATCTGAACATAGCTGGACTCTTTTAAAAATGACCCTGGCCCCCAGGTTGACCTAGCTTTAAACGGGTACTAGCTAAAGTCCCGGAAAGTAAGGGCAGCCATTATGATGTTGACCACAACATCCCAGCTGTGGGCGATTTGACAACAGAATGCCTTAATTTGGTTCCACCAAGCGCCAATCGGTCTATAAAATTGAGTTCTAGCACTATGCCCAATACGCCTGAAGGTGTGGATAAGGGTTCTTTACTCAACCTCCCTCACCTGGATACACACCTGGTCAAACAGGCAATGAGCGAGCGGACCAACTGGCAAGCGATACAACGCGTTTGGGAAGAAGCTACTGCATGGGAATTCCCAATGTGCAGTATCGTCGACTGTGATAACTTAACATGACATTTAACTTAGTTTTTTTTTTTATTTATATGTGAAATGTCTGCTATTTTCAAAACAAACATAAATGAAAATTCTTACCGCTCGTGTTGCTGCTACTGCATTAACTGCAGGAAGTGGAGGCAGAAGTGGAGGTGGAAGGGTTGGCTGCGTATTTGCTGTTCAAGAAAGTCAAAGAGAAAACTGCATCTTGATTACAAACATGAGACATTATAAAATTTGAGTGAAACAAATAACAGACTGGGCAATCTGCTGCCTTGTATACTCCATTGTCTCTTATAATATGCATATTTTTTTAATGAGTCCTTTAAAATGAAAAACAATCACACTCGCGACTTGTTTAATTTCACAATTAAGTACAAATATTAGGTATGCTGGGAATAATTAGGTGCAAACAGTTGTGATATACTGGGAATAATTAGGCACAAACAGCTGTATATTAGGAATAATTAGGCGCAAACAGTTGTGGTATACTGGGAATAATTAGGCACAAATAGTTGTATATTAGGAATAATTAGGCGCAAACAGTTGTGGAATGTTAGGAATAATTAGGCGCAAACAGTTTTGGTATATTTGGAATACTTAGGCGCAAACAGTTGTGGTATACTGGGAATAATTAGGCACAAATAGTTGTATATTAGGAATAATTAGGCGCAAACAGTTGTGGAATGTTAGGAATAATTAGGCGCAAACAGTCATGGTATACTGGGAATAATTAGGAGCAAACAGTAGTGGTATATTTGGAATACTTAGGCGCAAACAGTTGTGGTATACTGGGAATAATTAGGCACAAATAGTTGTATATTAGGAATAATTAGGCGCAAACAGTTGTGGAATGTTAGGAATAATTAGGCGCAAACAGTTTTGGTATACTGAGAATAATTAGGCGCAAACTGTGGTATATCTGGAATACTTAGGCACAAACAGTTGTGGTATACTGGAAATAATTAGGCGCAAACAGTGGTGGTATACTGGGAATAATTAGGCGCAAACAGTTGTGGTATACTGGGAATAATTAGGCGCAAACAGGGTGTTTTTCAGAAATGTTATGAAAAGGAATGGACTTAATAACATGTTAACGACTGCGAAGATTGACAGAAATGAAGCAACAGAAAGGCAAATCTTTCTTTCCCCCACTGTAAATCTGAACAAAGATGACAGGAACAACAGATTATTGCACAATTTACTGCCTGGCATATTTCACTGTATCTCCTCAGGTGCATACTACAGTAACAATTAAATAAATGATGGATAGCGGATTCACTTATTTAATTGCTACCTGGTTAGATACAGTGAAATATGCCAGGGAATAAATTGTGCAATCTATTGTCACTCTTCTTTGTTCAAGGAGATAAATACCTGGAACGGGTGAGAAAAGAACACTGACCTGATCTCTAAATCTGGTAATCATGTGAAATTACAAAACATGACAACCCACACTTATCAACACGGCATGGGATGATGATGCTAATAATAATGGGTAAATGTTATCACATCAATATCATCAACAACTGAAAGGTTTCTGGAAATCAGAACTATCAGTAGCCTGTTCTCCCTGAGTAAATCTCAGGTAGAAGTGGCAGTGGTGAGCAGCTACATGCCTGCCAGCCTGTAGCCCTATGTTCAAATCTCAATGAAGATTGGGATTTGTTTAAAACTGACTTGCCTAAAACAGGTATAAAGAGGATTTTTTCAGAGGGTACACAGTACCAGCAACTTTTATTTTAAGCATTTTTTAGCACTACTGTAATAGACACTTTGTGGTGTGTACATCCATTCTGTGGTGAATACCAGCATCTTTTGTCTCCAGCAAAAAGCCCAGGGTACCAAGAAATGTTTCATATGAGCCATGTTTACTTCCCAGGACTTTACCAGCTACCCATCTTTGGCTCCATCGACCTGAGAGCAAAGGTCTTTTTTTTTTAAATCTGACTGCAATGCAGATTTAAGCCTAAGACCTTTGGGCCAGCAGGGATGGGCAACCTTTTTAGGTCCATGGGACAAATTTAGAGTTACCTACCTGGCCGTGTGCCACGTAGAAAACATCCATTTTAAACATAACAACAGCCAGATTTCATCCTATCATATTTCTGTAAGACTAGTTGCGTATCCTTTACAGGACGTTGCAGAACCAACCCCAGCAGCCCCTGGCTGTTGTGTGGTTTCTCTAGGCAAATTTACGTCCAGTAGTTTGCCATTGCTTTCTGGACGGTCGGCCCACTGATACCACTGTCAAAACCAACGCAAGGCGAATGGCCCGCAGCGTTTGCATTGACTTAGCCACAAAGCCGACATTTCTGTAAGATAATCTAAAATTATAGTCCCTCACTATGCCTCTGGCCATACACTCACCCACTGAAGCCCTTCCATCTCTCTCTCTCTTGTATATGTGAGCGTGCGAGTGTGTTGAAGCTGGTTATTTGCAGAAATCATATTATTAGGGAAAGTGGGAGGGCGGGGGAACAAGATTACATAGTAATTTCATGCCAACCTCGCAGGCCTGTAAAAAAACTGCTCACCAGGACAGTTTTGGCTCACGGGCCATACATAGTCTGCCCGCCCCGGGTCTAGCCACTACACCACCGCAGCTCCCGAATAAAACAGCACTGGACAGAAACAAAATTCCAGCACCGCTGGTGAAACTGGATCTTGAATCACTGTTTTGGCAAGTCAGTGCACTAACTATGTTGACAGTTTGGATCCAAGAACTTTTAGAACACCACAGCTCCAAGAACTTCAAACAACATAAAACAATGTGAATGGAAATTCTTACCTTCATGTTCCGCTAAAGATACCACACTGGATATAACAGGGTATGACGGTGAATGTTCTCTGGCCGTTGCTAAAAAAAATAAAATACATAATCAACTGAGATTTAATTGCTTTTATTTTGTTTGGTTTTTTCCCATACTCTTTCCTAGGGGAGCAGCGGATCTATTCTCTTTCCCCCACAATGGGATCCCGAAACCCAAACAGGGAACAACTTATTTGAAAACACAAAAATAAAGAATAACCAGCTGATCTAACAAAAGGAATTCAAGATACTGTCATTATCCATGAGGGACGCTCGAAGTAAAGAAACTGGACTGTCCGTCCGTCTACAGCAGTTACTCCACATATTCACGGAGTTGACATTGTTTCTGTGAATCATCGGGAAACAATAGATGAATTGATGGTCTGTTCACAGCCTTTACTAATGGACAACACAGAGTACAGATCATCCAGTGTTACCCAATGGTCAGCATGAATAATGTCATCAACTCGACAAATGTATCAGCCACTGAGGACTGACCTACTTAAGCTTCATCACAATGATGTACACAGCATTGGATAGTGCTAACATCCACTGCTGAAACTCCATAAAAATTCTTCAAGTGTTCCTGGATGCAAATTAGGGTTCTCGATTTCAGCATTGAAGAATTCTATGACATTACACTGTTTCAACTAAACGTCTCTGGAAGCCATTTTAAGTACCGTTACAGTGGTGCAAATTTTGAGTATAACAGGTTGGTAATGCTACACAGTGTAGAAGTGTGTTTGAGGAATCCTGCTACATTTACAAATTACACGCTGACACAGTATTTACATAGATTTAAAAAACAGGAGGTATTACTTTTTTACTGTCTCATAACTTTTAGTTTAAACACTTGTGTATATTTTCATGTTTTATTAGAAATATATTTTTATAATTTGTCCTATTTCTTTTTTAGGATGTGCTGACTAAATGTAAGATGGGCAACCACACATGAAACACGGGCCCACATAGGGAGGGAGGGTGTTAAACTCCCCCCCCCACCATCGAAGCATGTCCTAAAAGTAGACTAATAAGGGATGTTTATTTCTAAGTCAGTGTGCGTCTGCCTTAGAGGCGAGGAACCAACAGTATTGCACACAAATAAGCCGCATCCTTAAAACAGATATGCATGCAAAACCCATGTTCAAGAACAATACTTAAGTCCAGAAGTACATAAACAACCAGAACTTACCACTCGAGTCTACAGTCGGTGAACAAAAGAAGAAGAAAAAACTGATCAGCACAAGCAAAAAGACAATCTAATCACAAATGGTACAATTCTTGATTTGAAAACAAAACCAAAATTTTTAAAAGCAGAACTAAATTTTCCAGAGGATTCACAAGCTAACCAATCAGCTATCTAGCTAACCTATCAGCTATCTAGCTAACCTATCAGCTATCTAGCTAATCAATTACCCATCTAGCTAGCCAACCGACCAAATAGACAGGCAATTAATTAATCAACTAGCTATCGAGACACACAAAAATCACACAAAAACCCAACATCTAAACAACAAATCAACATACCAATCAATCAGCTGATCAACCAATCGACCAGCTACTCAACCAATCAATCAACTAGCCAGTCAACCAAACAAGTCAGTGAATAGTAAATAAAAAAGGTAAACTAAAATTAGTATATTTCAAAGAGATGAACAACCTTGTCGAGTAGTCATACGACCGCCTCCTCTCGCTGGAGTGGGCTTTAACGGCTGATTCTGCTGCACTGGTGCTCCTTGTGGTAAAAACTGACCCTGCGAAGAAGCTGAAAGTGGTTGGGGTGTCGCTCCGAACACTGGGGGAACCCGCTGAACTTCAAACTGAACTTGAAAGTTCATCACACAGGAATAGGAGCAAAAATTGCGGACTGAAGCATCACTCATTGTAAGGTGATACTGAGCTGGAACAACCTGAAACAGAGACACTGGTTAGCTGTATTTTTACAAAAATAGGTTTAGCTGAGAGGTAATGTCAGAACGGCTGAACACACACACACAAAAGCATTTGATAATGTGAAGGGAAACACACACACAAGCTAACAATCAATAAACAAAACAACACGTATACTTGAATATAAAAAACTGCCATTACTGCCTCATTTACCATTTCTGTGGTACAGGCGGGGCTGGGGGTGTCTTTGCACCTGAGTATTTAGAGCCAAATGGCTAGTGGTGTCACTACTGACTGTAAAGACAGACAAAAATCTCCAACCTTAGCAAGGATTAGAACTTAGGTCTCAAGCGTTCTTAACCGTTCGGCTAGTCAGTCCTCCACTTGATTACAGAAACAAACAAAAACCTATTTTTGTTTTCTGTATCAGCTATAAAATCTCAGGGAGGTCACCTTTTTCTACAAAGGACTAGCTATAAGATGATATCTTATTCAGCAGAATATTGTATTTCTCTATGATTATTCTGTCTTGTGCCACCAGCTTCTTTTGGTACTATTCAGCTTTTCCCCCCATCTCGTTGGGTGCGAGATTTCCTAGGGAAATTTCAGAGACAGTCCTATAGTCTAGGGGGTGAGGGGGGGCTAGGGTCAGTGTTAGCCTTAGTAGCAGTTCATTTAACACTAAAGCTAAAACACTACAACTCCTATTTTCTAGGTGTGTGGTGTGTTTCTTGTTTTCACCAATATCGTTTATTGCATCATAATTTCCACCGTGTGTTACTTTCGTTTGTTCGTGGCCTTCACTCTGCCGCCCTGTGTGGAAGCGCTGTTCTTACTTTGTGACTTGGATATGGATTTCCTTGACCAACCTGTCAGTACTGCTGCATCTAACCCTAATCCTTAAACATTCATTCAAAGAAAAGACAACTGCTCACTTTCATCTGGGAGAGAGAAAAAGCTGCATAATTTTTAGTGGGAGACAGTGTGTCGGCCCGAACAAAGCCAAGACACAGCGAAGGAAAGCATGTCATGTCACTCCTAGAGTACAGGACTGTCCCGCAGGATTCCCTAAGAAACCTTGCACCTGACAATATAGGGTGAAAAGGCTGAAAAAAATACTCTTTTTTTTCATTCACCCTTAAAAGGGGAGTTGGCAAGCTGTGTTGCGGTTTACAGTTGAGGTGTAATGTGCCCAACACATCCGACTTCAGCAAACCCTTAGTTAATAGCCTGTGAAGATATGCCAGTCAAACCCTAGAGCATGGAACTCACATAGGGTGTGTCACCAACTGAGTTATATGTATAATGTATTGTACTGGATCTGGTATTTTTATCATCACATTTTTTGCATTCAGGTAAAAGAGATTGATAAGCAATGCATTTATATAGCCAGCAAATAAAAGTAGTTACATCGGTGTTCCCTTGAGTGCATAGATTCTCTAAAAAGAATAAGTTAAAAACAAAGAAGCAAAACTGTGCCGTCTTCATAACTGAGGTTGGCTGCAATGTAACCACTGCTAACTATGGCAATATTATGTGGTGAGGCCCAATCTCTTCCATGGCTCAACTCTCAAACCACTACATAAAAGCCATAAATCAAGTTTTGTTTTTTTTAAATCTGCCTACCGTGGGAGCTGAACCCTGTTAAATATCCAGGAAGGCATTGCGAACAATTTTATTAGCTTCCAAGCTTCAGGGTCTCACACACACACTCATAAATTCTATTAGCCAAAGACAAAACAAAATTATTACAAATAATAAAAACTAGAGCTGTACTGAAAATTTGCTTCATAGCTGAATAGTGGACCTAATAAGCATTCGGTATTTGGCTGAATACTTGTGGTCGGGCCGAATAGGAATAATGGTTACGTTACACCCGCTTCTGCATACGCCGTGGCTGCTGCAGCCACTGCGAATTACTTCTTATAATACTTAGAATACTTTCTAGTTATAAGTTACTACAGACTGACTGAAGGATGCAAAATATCAAATGTTTTTAAATGTTTACTATTCTGTACAACATTTTGTGAAGTAAAAGTTCAGCGCACATTTTACATTATTTCAGTTTTTTTTTAAGATCTATTTTATATACTATTTGTCCCGTATTTGGCCGAATAGTTAGTCCTGTTATTCGTATTTGTCCGAATAGTGATAATCACCTATTCAGTACAGCTATACTCAAAACAATGTCCTCCGTTAGTGGATTTAATAATGCATGGATTTAATAATGCAGATACAAACAATAGATTGCAAAAATAATTTTTAGGTATATTTCGCTGCATCTTATCAGGGGTGTTACTAGAGAGTTAAGTTTTTGTGCTTTTTTTTTAATATATATATATTGATTGATATAACTCTGTAGGCAGGCCAAACAATTTCTGGAGGCCTCGGAGATGTGGTTTTACAGAAGAATGCTTAGAATACCTTGAAAGCCAAAAAGAGCAACCAAGAGGTTTTGAAAGAGGCGGGAGCCTGAAGACAACTTATCACAAACATCAGAAGGAGACTGATCATTTTTCGGCCATTTTATGAGAAGAGGGAAAATAGAACATGTGGTGACCACTGGAAAGATATGTGGAAGGAGAGATAGGGGAAGACAACGAGAGAAGATGCTTGACAGTCTTGTTGCATGGCATGGAGGTGTGTCGGCACCCGAACTGATACATGCTGCAGGAGATCGCAGATTATGGAGAGGCATGATCGCCCCTGCCAGTCGGCAAGGCACCTGATGATGATGATAACTCTAACTGATGAAATGAAGTGAAATATACCTTAAAATGTACTCTTCACGTACACATTATTTATATTCCAAATGTATCAAACTCCCCAACAAACTCCCAGAAAAAAATGATTAATACTCATTCATTCCTGTTCGTACTTTACCTTTCGACACTGGTCACACTGGACCGCTTGGTTGGACTTGGCTTGCAAGCTGACACGATAAAGTGAAAGGCAGTTCAAAGAACAGAACAGCTGAACCTTGTTCTCTGTGTCCAATCTTTCTATCATGTCAAAGTTCAACTTCTTAGTTCCACACCACCCACAGGGAATAGGTCTGCTGTTTGCCGTGCGGAAGCTATTAACACAAAGGTCACTACAAAAGCGTTTGACCTTCCCCTCATGCTGAATAAAGTGGGCCTTTGCCTCTTCTGTAGTACAAGGAACTCCACAGCTGTCGCACCTACCCATGCTGATTTTATTGGTGTACTGGAAAGCCGAGAGGCAGAGGTCACTGCAAAGTTTACTCCACTCATCCTGCAGCCTCACTGTGTATTTGACTGGTCCCTGCTTCCTGCAAACAGAGCAGGTGATTGTCTCCTGTCTGACATGTCCCTTCTCAACGCTTAACACCTCCACATTATTTATTTGGCTCTCCGTGTTTTTCATGCAGGCTTGTGAACAAAACTCTCGAAACTTATTATCTGCTCCAACAATGGCAGTAAATGCCCCGGGCTCTGCGGTAACATCTCGCTGGCAAAATGAACACAACCTCAGCTTCTTCTTAAATTCACTGTAGCATTTATGTTTACAAAATGGACGCATGTTGTTTCCGATTTTCAAACAGAAATTTGTTCTAACTTCTGGAGGAATATATGACTGGCAGAAAGAGCATGAAGCATTCAGGTTAGCCTGGAACTTTCCTAAGCAGGACTCTCCGCAGAAATCAAGACCTTTCCAGTTACAAAATGGCTGACTAGCGTTGACATCTATCAGCTGACAAACAGAACATGTTTTAAACTGACTTTCTTGAGTGGATCCTTGTGAAGCGACATTCGAAGTAGAGGTTGGTGGTAAATCTGGCATGATGTTTGACGCAGGTGGGGCATTCAGATTTCTCTTCTGTTTTAAAAACATGTTCGGACTTTTCTTAAATTGTTTGAAACAGGCATCATCGCACAAATGCTTTAGATCCCCATTGCGTACAATGTTGTACTTGCACCGACATATCTGAAAATTTATAAGAGGAACACTGATAACAAATACAGTGATTCCATTGTATTTTTAAGCAACACTAACAATTAAGTTACCAATAAAATGTCAATAATTGTCACCAAATTCAACATTAAAATTACAGCTCTCAGCGTGGCAGGGAACAAGAACTGTACATAAATTAGCCAGTAAAATGGATGTACATGCAAAACTTAGGTTCTGGGATAAAGCCAGAGTTTAAATGGATGAAAAAAACGGGAGTTTCTGACAGAATTCAAAGCTGGTGAATGCAAAGAAGTAGAAACATAAAAATTAAAGGAAAAAGACCCGGTCTGCATGCCTTCAAGCATTGTGGACATATGATAAGTATTTAAAGGACACTCTTTCACACCACTGGAGCATACAGTGTGTAGTGCTAGACCTTTATTTTTGTAAACCAATCGTCATTTGATAGGTTATGTGACCAATATCACGCCGACCACCTTTACTTCTCAGGACATCACCCAGGACAAAGGCATTTTTTTTTCTGGCTGTACAGTGGTAGACAGTACCGGCAACTTTCTTCAGTGTAATGTAAAAGACACCTTGTGGTGAGTAAAGGGACCCTTTTTCCTCGCCTTTATGTGTATTTGGCATATAGGGCTGGACTTATATTTTACTGACTAATCGGCACTACGTGGGTGATAGATCAACATCACGCCAGCCACCTATACTTCACAAGACTATACCTGGTATCCACCTAAGGCATGTGCAACCTCAGAGAAGCCATTTTTTTACCCCCAAAAATCTAGCTCCGTCAGGACCCAAACCCCTGACCTTCCGAGTCCAATCTGCAGGTCTAGCCACTAAACCACAATGGCTGACCTTTATCTTAACAGATATTCTGTAGTGAGTACCGGCTCATTTTCTTTAAGAAAAAGTCCTGTTAGTACCCAATCCATACAGTTTAACTTGGGAAACAAGGTCAGTTCTGAAAAAACATCTGCATGGACATATGGTGCAAGCCCCATATTTTTATACTAATTAGCACTCAATAATATTACACTGGCTGCCTTTACTTCCAAGAACATTTCCTGGGAGCCCAGAAAAACATTTTTAAATCTGCCTCTTTTGGGAATTAAACACATAACCAAAACGTGCTAAACTTGCTCCAGAACATGAAAATGATCAATTACACATCTTCCCCTATGTCTTGGCAACTTTCTTTACAATGAAAAAAAGGAACAGCTATTTACGGAAACTACTAGTTCTTAGGGTTCACCAGCTGTACATTCTGGAGGAATGTTTTGGTTGTTCATCAACTTTTGCACTTTGGTCTGGTTTCAGAACTAGAGTTTTTTGCATGCATATTTGGTTTAGTTGCATGCTGACTGCTGGTTCTTCGTCCATTAGGCAGACACACTGTGACATCGAAGGAAACACCTTCTATGACATGATTTTAGGGGGGCAGGGGGTATACTCTCTGCCCCCTCAATGGGTGGGTCCCTGTGACTTACATGGAGAATTCATGGTTACAGATGTTAACAACAAATGACAACTGCTCTAACTATGAACCTTTATGTCAAGTTACTATTTTAATTTCAACCATACATCAGCAAATTGCATTTGTTATAGTGTGCTTAATTTTCACCCTGTGTTTCTATCTTAACTCAAGCCACCCAGTAAAATTTAACAACAAACAGGTTGTGGTCCTGTGGGAATTCCCAAAATAATCCTTTAAGAAAAAAAAATTTGACACAGATCACTATCTGTAAATGAAAAAAAGGGTGGTGGTGGTGGGGGGGGGGGGGGGGGGGGGGTAGTTATCAATAAACATGAGCAAAATGAAGCATTAAGTTGAATACATTCACCGCAGCCTAGAAAACAATATAATCAGGTGACTCATGTTATAACCCCATGACTTCGATCACTGAGGCTTAGTGGGAAATCTGAAGTCAACTTTATAAAAACTGTTTGGTTCCCAGAGAAACATACTAAATGCTACATTTAGCTAACATATTCATATCCTGACTGCCCTAAAAGTGTGCGCGAGCACAAGCTCAGCCAATAGCATTAAATATGTCTCGTAAAAACAGCCCTCTAGAAAAGTCAGAAAAGTGACATTTCAGTAGACTTGGACCTAATCGAAAGTAACAGTTTTGCTGCTTCACAGAGTTTCATATATTTACAAATGACATCTGCTGAAACATCTACATTTGCACTGTGTTTATATGTTAATGTCTATCATACCTCACTAAGGGTATAAGATGTTTAATTAATCAACACAGAAAAGGCATGATTAGTTGTTTTACACTTGTGAAGCTACTAAGGAAGAGATCACAGCTCCTACAGATCTGTATGGAATGCTCTGACAATAACAATAGTCCTTCCTATCATTCCCCAAGAATTTATTTGTGTTCAAACAATCAGCCTACAAAATGTGTTGTTAATTCAATTTCCACTGCATTTCAAGACAATACAAACCTTTTGACAGACAATGCAAGTCTGTAATTTCTGCTTTGTCAGTTTACTTTTAGGAGAATCTGCCTTACTGTTTCCTGTAAAGAAATCACATTCTGAAAATTGTAATCACATGGTAATACAGATTTCATACATGAAAATTCAAATGATCTAAATAAATACAAATCAAAGTCAATTAAATTTGTAAATAAAAATCATGCAAAAGGGCCGGCTAAAGTTAAAATTAATAAATCTGTATCTGCCACTGAGTCCTAGATTTCATACATACACAAACAAATATATATATATATATTATATTATATATCTTATAGTCCTAGCCATGTGGCAATAATCATGTCTGTCCAGTGTTCTGCCTTGTCTACTTTCAATCATTTCTGACACAGAAACCTTACTGGGCAAACTATCCAACATCTATCTTGGTCTCCATTCCTTTTAAACTCCCATGTTGTCTTATGGTACTACAGTTGGTCCCTCTTCAAAACTGCTCAAAGAATGTAAATTGCCTTTTTTTTTTTTGCAAGAAAATTCTCTTCATAAGTTAAATTCTTTCAAGATATAAAGAAACAAGAAAAAGGGAAAAAGGCAACCTTGATCCACATTACTTTAGCAATCTGCAACCAAATATTAAGAAGGAAATTTATCAACTACATTTTTTTTCCAGTAATGTGCAGTCATTTTTTGCTAGTATTCTATGCATTCAGTGCTTTCATTTGTTTTGCATTTGTGATGGTGGAGGTATTTCTGGAGTTACGGCTGCTGTGCTGTTTATGAGAGGATATGCTGTACCTCATCTGGGGCACCAGCAGGCTCTGTGATGGTTTAATGACACCTAATACATGACTCCTGCATTTGTCATGCACCATCCATACTGAACAGCATCTCCTTAAATGGAGCTGGCAGGAGATCTTGAAGCTGGTACCCCTCCCCCCTAGAAGCAGTCCAGAAGATCTCTTGCACTCATCAGTCTACCATCAATGCTTAGGTGATAACGCTGATTAAAGACTCATTAAGAACACGAGTGAAGCCCACTGGCTATGTTTCCTAGTAAATGACAAACCACAGTCTGTACGTCTGTTGATGAAGAAATTAACTAAATGGAAACCAAGTAAGGAAAACAACTGAAAACAGCAAAGACGCAAGTATGTAACTCATCACACAAAGGATATATATGCTGTAGAAAAGTTGCAGACAGAGAGGTCTGTCATATCCATCACACAATAGGGGCTTCTGAGATGAGATGCTATAGAAAGATTTTCAGAATTCCACAGATAAAGAACACCAGAAATTCTGACATCGTAAAAATTCTGAAATTCAAGAAAGACTGGCTAATAAACATAACTTTGTCTCAAAAGTTGAAATATTTTGGCTATATCAAGCGCTACAGCAGATTGGAAAAATTAATAGCAAAGGGCATGGCACCAGCAAGGAAGGACAGGGGCTGACTAGCAGGAAGATGGGCACCAGATAGAAGTGACTCCTTGAGTATGCAAGTGCATGAGACGGGAGAGCTGGGAAATTTCAGGCAGACTGTGATGAGAGTGATGGTCTGCAAAGGCGTGCCACATGATGATGATATCTATCACAACCATTTAATGGATTAAACAAACTAGCTTCTACATGTTGATTCTCATTAAAAAAGTATCTTTCTCTCACTGTCGACACAACTACTTAAATACCTATCTCATTTTCAATTTAATTTAAAGATGCAATGAGCAGTGGCATACCTGGCTCTGAGGAGGTCCCCTGAAAAGAACAGAAAAAAGTTTAATTAACATCTTAAGTAGCATGAAAAATAACAACAGTAGGCAACCCTTCTTAAGTCTTTGGTTCCTAAGGTACATAGTGCTAAACCTGGACATTACAGACCAGTCATCAACATTTTGCTGGCCGCCTTTACTCGTACCTGTTTTAGGCAAGGCTTGGAAAAAAAAACCATCTGCCTTAATCAGAATATGAACCCTAGATCTCTAGGGCAGCAAGCGGGTCTAACCGCTAGGTCACCACAGCTCCAAAATATAACAATAAATAAATCATCACAATAGAGACCACGGCTACTGCCTCCTTCATTAGCCAGAACAAAAGAAAACAAAGCACCCTTGTGGTGCTAGTGGCACACCAGACATTTGATGCTAGGCTCGTTTGTATGGACCACTGACACTCAATGTGTGATGTGGTCAACATCATGCTGGCTGGCCACCTGTCCTATCCAGTATATTTTAAGGTACCCATTCTCAGTTTGGTCAACGTCGCATATGCCACCTTGACTTCCAGTATGCCCCGTGTGGGTTCCGGAGCCCTACTCTAGGGAAAACAGAGCTACTGCCTATCCAAAAGCATGTCTAAGAGTCGACAAATTGGGAGCTTCCTCTGAAGTCTGAGTGCACCTGCCTGAGAGGCAAGTAACCCTGCTGCATACAAATGAGTCATATCCATAAAATGCATGCACATGCAACACTCAGGTTCTGGAAAAAGACTATAAAGTCCAGAAGTCGACAAACAACCAGAATTTCCGCCGGAGTTCAGGGCTGGTGAATGCGAAGATGATGATTAAAGGCCACAGGTTTAGTGTACCCATTTTCTGCCTTGGTCGACCTGGCAGCCAAGGTCAATTTGTGTGGGGGATGCGGTGACCTTCGAAATCAGCCCACAATGCTTTAAACAGAGCTTAAAAGAAAGCTGTTGGTCGGTACAAACAAACAGTCAGTTGAAACCGCAAAATTCTCACATAATTTTAAACCAGAGGGCTTGAGAACTGCAGCAAAAAATGCTTCAGTCAGAGGAAAATAAAGAGGAACACACAGCTATCTTCACAGATGAGAAGTCAGTTGTCACATACTGAGGAGCAAAAACAATACAGAACTAGCAGACCTAAAAGCTGCACTCTATAAACTGAGTTAGAAATAAAAAAGAGTTGTAGAACTAGGGATTTCATCCCATTGCAACACACCTGGGAATGAAGAGCCTGACAGACTAGCAAAGGATGGTGGAAGACATATGATGAGGCCAAGAGGTTTATAACGAGTACTTATAGTACTAAATGGAATTCTGAACGTCTAGACCACAAGAAGGATGAATGCATACTATCAACTTGACCAACAAAACAAGTAGTGATCTTTAGACCCCAAACAGGCCATAATAGGCTGAAACACCAATGATTCAATGAGATGAATTCAAGAGAACTGATGATTGTAATTGTGGAAGTAGGGACAATGACGGCTAAACACTTGCTGCTAGAGTATCCAAGATATGCAGAACAGAGAAAACTATTCTGACACCCGCTCATTTTTAAGGGCAAACTCTGTGGAGATGTCAACAACCTCAGATTGACTGCTGATTTCTTTGACGTCTGAAGGTATAAGAAGGAGAAAACTTTCAGGGATTCTTATAGCTGATAATCTATAAGGTATAAGAAGGAGAAAACTTTCAGGGATTCTTATAGCTGATAATCTATAAGGTATAAGAAGGAGAAAACTTTCAGGGATTCTTATAGCTGATAATCTATAAGGTATAAGAAGTAGAAAACTTTCAGGGATTCTTATAGCTGATAATCTATAAGGTATAAGAAGGAGAAAACTTTCAGGGATTCTTATAGCTGATAATCTATAAGGTATAAGGTATAAGAAGGAGAAAACTTTCAGGGATTCTTATAGCTGATAATCTATAAGGTATAAGAAGGAGAAAACTTTCAGGGATTCTTATAGCTGATAATCTATAAGGTATAAGAAGGAGAAAACTTTCAGGGATTCTTATAGCTGATAGTCCCTAGAGATGCAGAGTTCATAAACCATGTGGAAAATAAATGAAATAGACCCATCTGTCCGTAAACTGCCCCTCTGTATGCCCCTAGGCATCTTATCAGGGAAATGTCACAAGAAACTAGTGGACATTAAAGTCCACTGCAGTAAGAGTCTAACATGCAAAAAGAAGCAAAGTACTCATTTGTGTAGGTAATTGAAATTCCAGGTCTACAGGCTGCCTACTGCTGGCTTCTAAAGACAGCCCGTGATGAATGAGATGTTCAATGTATGGAAATGAGGTTAAACAGTCATGTGATGATTTCTTGGGTGAGCCCAGTACCAGAGCATCAAGTATTGGCTTTGAATGTATGGAAGCCTCCTTGGATGGCAGGAAATGCTCATGTTCTGCTCCTGCCTTCTCTTGAGGGCTGACCAGCACTACGTGGCTTCTCTGGACCAGCCTGATGTGGGGTATAACCTGTGACCCAGGAAACAAAGATGACCACACATCAATGAGACTGCAATGACCCACAAAACTAACCGGGATGGCTACCCCAGTCAACAAATGCCTGCATAAATACAATTACATCTTCAGATACACGCAGAAGAAGTATAAACATGGCCTTGGCACATCAGCACTTCAATTTAGGAAGTTAAATACAAACAGAAACAATCAATGCAATAAATGTTAACACACTTACCAAGTTTTTTTCTGTGCCAACACTTCCTGACATCTGAGTATCTACTCCATTCTCAGTTGTTCGGGTCTCCACAACTTCTTTCTTTAATGGGACAACTTCCCCTTCATCATCAATAATTACAACGTCATCATCATCATCACCATCAACATGTGGTTCTTGTTTAACTCCTTGTGAAGCCACCTCATTGTCATACATGACCAGGTCATCTGTCGATCCATTTATATTGCAAGGATTACACTCTGTTTTTATTTCTGAAATTTGTAGTTGATTACTTGCACCATGATGGCCGCTAGTTGTGTTAACAGAATCATTACTCTCAGCAGTATCTTTCGGTCCACTGTTACCATGTTTGGTTGCATCAACCAAGACAGGCGAGGCAGATGTTGCTTCTAAGACATCTTTATTTATTTGCATATGTTCAGAACCTGGTGTAAGCTTATCTGAATCATGGCTGTTAATTTCCATTGGAGTTGCATTTGCTTCTTCAATAACTTCCACAAATTCAAGATCAGTATCTTTGAGCACTGAATCACTTAAACCTGAATTCTGTTTGATAGAAGATCCTGGGATGCTGCTATCTCCTGAAGTCAAGCCTGGTGGTGGTGGAGGTGTTCTTTCCTCCACTGTTGTAGTTTTCATTGGTCTTTCTCCATGATTATCATTATTATTTGCAGCTTCAATCTGGGTACTAACCTGTTTCAATATTTTTACTTCTTTCTCGTATGTTTGCTTAGATTTCGCTGAAGAAATAAATTCACTCTCGGAACTGTCAGACGATGAAACATTTAAAATGTCACCACTACTTAAAGCAGTAGGTTCTACAGTTTCAGATATTACATTATCTAAAACAATGTTCATCTCCTTAACAGACTGCACTGTATCTGAACTGTGACATTCACTGCTTGCATTTTTACTGAAGCTATTACTTTCTGAACTTGGAATGACAACTTTCACAACATCTATCTGCGGATCCTCCTCATCTACAATTTCAACATCATCAATATCTTTCTCAACATGATCACTCTGGGGTTGTAGCTGAGCAAGCAAGTACTCTGATTTTGTTTCAGCCCCACTTCTTTCTTCTTTCGCCATCACCTCTTCGGTCTCAGAAATATCAACACTATGTGGTTTGAGTTTTTTTATATCAGATCTCCCGTTTTCACTTAATCGCACAGATGACGCTTCATCCTGAGAGTTGTGACTTTTACTTAGGGAATTATCTGTGCCATGACCGGTACTGTTATGTTCATGATTAGCAGAATCTTGTGAGCCTTCTTCCAACAAATCAATCTCATCTTCCCAACACTTGGAAGTATGTGATGATGTGTTAAACTCCTTTGAAGGCCCAGTTAAAATACTAACATTTCTTTCCATTTCTACCTTTTCATGTACCACAGATGTACTCACTGCCAGTAAGTCTGTCTCCTCAGTCTCCATGCTTTCTGTTTCCCGTGCTGGCTGTCTTTCAAGGAGACTAACGCCATGGCTTAACATAGCATCCCTACCCTCTTCTACCATTGGTTCTGTAAGATTCGTGTATTTTTCATTATCAGTTGAAAGTATGTGATGAATACCATGAGATATTTTGGAAGAAGCAGCTCCGTCAAGCTGTGAGACACTACTTGAACCAGTGAAATCTCCATAGTCTTGTATACATCTGCCGCTACTGTCTGATTCTACAGCAGCTTTACCTGCATTGGCTAAGTGTTCAATGTCCACTGATTTCTCACAGACAGAAGATGTGTCTTTCAGTCTATCATCGCATTTGTCTGCAAGCTCGGCCTGAGTAACAGAAGTAAATGACAGTACTTTGTCCAAAGATGTTATTTCTATAGCTGAATTTGAACTCCTCCCACTGGAGAAGTCAACAAAAGGTTGGGCATCATGAATCACAACAGATGCATTAGAATGCATTCCATCTACACACATGCTCTCATCTCTGCTTCTCAAGCCTGATTCACATTCTAGATTTGAATTGTTCTCATTTTCCAATATAGCTTCTTCGCTTTCCATCCTTATAACACCTGCAGATGATAAGAAGATGAGAAAAAAAAATTATTAAGATATGATTTTTTAATTAATTTTAACACCTAATTATAATTAATAATGAGAAAATTATGCCTAAAGTAAGTTACTCAAAATAAACAAAATGATCCTGTTTGTCACCATTTCTCACACTGTATGTTCTTCTACACTAAAGACATAGTGTGCCTGTGTGTTCCCATATCATAAGCTATGCCAACAGTAGCCTAGTTATAGATATAATTTCCCAAGTTGGACAGGTCAAGGGATAGGAATCAGACATAAGTCAATAAGCCGCTGCCTTGTAGGCAGTGTAAGTACAAGTTGACATTCAAGACTTCGACAATCACGAATCTTCGGAATGCAGGATTTGTGAAAATGTCTGATTTTTTATTTCAATGGTTACATATATTAAACAGAAAACTACTGCTCCTGTACAGTCCTATAGAGAAAGAAAATGAAAACTAAATAAAAAGCAAATAAAGTTTTAATGTTTAACTACAAAATTTTTTAGTTAAACAGTTCCTTTGAATTTTAATTTTAAAAATGAGAAGGAATACACAGGAATTGTGGTAGCATGTACAAGCAAGATATAACAGCTGATTCCGGGGCACAGAATAATGAAAACATAAATTCTGCCTCCAGAAAACTGGCATGCCAACACAGTAAATTTTAAAAAATGCACTTCAAAATCCATTTTGGAAATCTGAAGGAACAGGATTATCGATGATCAGGTTTTTTATATCTGTCAGTACTATCAAAGACTAGGAAAGGAAACACAAAAACTACTTGTTAAGATTAGATGCAATGAGTCCCAGGCTGAAAAAAAAAAAAAAAACAGTGCAGTTTCACTATATCCATGATCACTAATCAATGCTGTTGCGAGGGCATGTGAAATGCAGACTCAGAAAATGGTGGCTGGCCTGTTGCCAGAGAACTGGTGATGTCTTATGTGATAACTGCATGCAGCTACTGATCTGCTGCAGCAAAATTAGCAATTCTAATGGAACACTGATGGACATTCTGAATGTTGTCGCAGGCATAGGAGTAGAGCAATTATGAGGTGATCCGTTTGCCATAAAGTCAGAACTGTGATTACTGAAAGTGTTGAGATAAACAAAATTACCAGAAGTTGTTTATAAACAGTGATTAATATAAAGACACCTTCCCACTGTGGAGTTCCCAGAAACGAAAGAGCTGATAAACTAGCTAAGGAAGGTGCAACTGAAGAACAACCCGATACACCAGTCTCTTATCAAGAGAAGAAAAGAATGATCAAATCAATCAGAAAGCCATCGAAACTGGCACAAAATGATTACCATATTATGGACAGACCAGAGCAAGTCATTTTCCTTCGCCTTAGAACAGGGCATAATCGACTTCGCTGCCACATGTACAAAAAATTTAAGATTGGCCAATCAGCCATGTGTATCTGTGGACTGGCACCTGAGACAACAGATCACATCCTCCAAGACTGTCCCAGATTCAACGCTTCCAGGCAAAACCTCTGGCCAAAAGAGACACTTGTGGAAGTCAAACTTTACGGGCCGCTTAGTGAATTACAAAAGACAGTGAAATTCATACTAGAGACAGCATTGCAGATATAGATAATTTATTTCATGCGAATGAAAGAAGAATAAGAATATAAAGACAAAGCGAACACATTTCTATAACACAAAGATGCCTAATAACTTACAATATAGTTAGAGTGAGCTGGAGGCCTGGATTTAGACTTGATAAGGTCCAAAGCAAGCTATTTAAAACCCTGCAATTTTAAATTACACCAGCTAATCTCAGAAATGCTCTAGAAAGATTCTCAGAATATCTTGGACAAAGAAGATGAGAAGTGTTGATATCTTGGAATCTGGGCAACAAGGGGGATTGGCTGATGGACGGCATCCTTTCTTGAAAGCTGGGGTATTTTGGTCGTATCAAGCGCCACGGCGGATTGGAAGAAATTATAGCAGAAGGCATGGTACCAGGAAGAAGGGGCAGGGGCCGACCGACACGAAGATGGGCACAGGATGTGAGTGACTCCTTAAGTGTGAAAGTTCATGAGGCGGGAGAACTGACAAGAGACCGAGTTTCTTTCAGGCAGACTGTGATGAGAGCCATGTTCTGCAAAGGACCTGCTACATGATGATAAATCTCAGAAAACTTCAAAATGTATGCACCTTTTAAATGTATGGATAATGGAAATATACTGTCAATTTTTAGTACAAGAAGTTAAAAAGAATATCTGCAAAATTACAATAGAAAATATATCATATATTCATCTAAAAGGCTCTCTTTAAATAAAACTGTATTGGATTTACATTTAAAAAGAAAAAAATTCATTTGTGGTATAGGTGGGGGGAGGGGGGGGGTTGTTTGGGGCCCCTGGCCAGTGCAGATTATGAATTTCCCATTTACCCAGCAAAACATTATGATTTACCATTTAGTACAGCACAGTATAGTTACTTTGAGTGACAGCAGTAAGAAGTTGTGAGTACTGAGATGCATGATCATCAAGGTCACACTCATTCTGGCTTCTGAGCTAGTGAAGAAAACTAAAAACTGACTTTTTTTTAACCCAAAAAAAAAGTTTGCAGACCCTGCAGACTGTGAGACTCTAAGTTGTAGCTTATACATAAATCCACTTGTTCAGTACTAAGTATGTTACTAAGTATGTTACATTATAGTAAAATTACAGTATAGTCACTTGCAGTACCAACAGTAACTGAGAATGAAGATGGGAGTATTGTCACTGTAAGGCACACATTCTTACAAACAATGCTGTCTTCGAGGCCGAGGCAGGAAACAATATAACCAGCTTCTCACAGGAACAATTAGTAAAAGTACTCTAGAGTGGCTGCTGCATCAGAGGACTGAGCATGCATGGGAATGCCCAATATACAGTGACGTCGAATGTCAAAAGAATGTGATAACATGACACTGTGACACACACACTCACACCACTGGCTTCTGATTCTGAGCTAGGAGATGTAGTACAAGTACATACATTCACATACAACTAGGCGTGACTCACTTTTCTTGGGAAAGGAAAAACAGAACAACCAAACGATAAAGACGATAAAGATGTGTGTTGTTAAGACGAACAGAAACGACTCTATCCCAGTACCACAGAATTAAATTCCTCATAAACTTAAACGCAACTACCAGTCCGACAATCTCAAACCAGCGGGAAAGCACAAAGTAATCAATTTCATTTCCCGTTACTACTGACTGTTATTTCTTGGATGTCCAATATTTTATTAAATGATCAATTTTGTTTTATTATCACACATCTGCCCCTAGTGGATACCTTTCACCCCAGAATATTATCAGTTTGTGGAACAACTCTTCCCTAAATAAATTTCTTCCACATCTATGATATCTGGCTGTCTTACACAAGAACCAACACGGCATTATCTCCCCTATACCTCTCCTGCAATGCCCGATTCCCGCACCTCCATAATCACTGATCATGCACATGCAGGATCTTCGGCGGTAATATAAGCAAAGTTCTAAAATATTTATACAAAAACAGCTCACCTGAACTTCAGATATCCTCGTGAAAGTTTGCATCAACATTTAATGCAGACGAAAACGACTAGTTTCAAGAAGAAAAGCTGTATACACCCGCCACGGAAGGCAGATTTGGGTCGTCAGCCTCGTTGTCGCCTTGGGGTCGTAAAATGCCGATGACAAGGAAAGACGACGAGTATTTTCAAGTCTAAATTATGTTGCTGGGTTTTTTTCAGTTTAATATAGTGGAAAAGTAATTTTGTACAATTATTATCAATATTTTACTAACTTTAAATAATATATTTTGTTAATATTATTATTCGTTATTTACACAATTCGTCATTTTATCTGCCGTGTAGGCTGCTGAAATTTGGGAACTCGGACACCTTAGGCACCCCCCCCCCCTAATTTTGTATTAGGGGGTGGGCTAAATAAGGTCTCAAAACGATTAGCAAAGTGGCTAATTACCCCCCCCCCCTCCCGCCTCCTCTACTCAGTATATTCAGAAGTTCTCCATTTTGTTAGTAGTGCCTACTTGTTTACACATTTCGTCATCATTAGGCCTATTTATGGGTCCAGAGAAAGTACAGTGACGCAGTTTAAATCGCAATGACAAAGCAACAGAGAAATTCACCTATACTTCTCGTCCTTTTTAGGATGAAATTTTTCGTTATATGAAGCCCTACTCTGGCTTTTGCCAGGGGCTGCAATGTAGCCTGGCCATGATTATGGCCTAAAGGCTGAACGCGGTTTCTGGGATCTCTCCACGGTGATCTTCACCCACACGGTGGCACATTGTGTCATCGGGTGTTTGTCGCTTGTGTGATGTCCTGGTGGGGTAGAAAGTCAGTGAGTCAACAGAGACAGTCTAAAAATTAGCACACTGCACTAAACCCTTTGTCTACCAGTCGCGCCAAAACAAAGCAACTTTTCTTGCCGTTGTAAACATTTTCTATAACAAAGAGTAGTGGATGGAGCTCAATGGATCTAAAAATCACAATAATAATTATTTGTGTTGAGTGGTAAATTTGTAAATAAATTTAATAGATTTGAAATAATATAAAAAGTATACATGTTTACGTTGAACAGCTGTAAACTCTTTGTCGAATCCATTTCATATATCTAGCTTACTTGTATAATGCTTCTTTTTCAGTGTTCACCGGCTGCTGACTCCGGCTAAAAGTTATGGTTGTTGGTCCACTTCTGGACTTAAGTCTAGTTCCAGAACCTGCGTGTTTAACAGATCTGACTTAATTATATGCAGATTGTTGGTTCCTTGCCTATCAGGCAGATAAACTCAGACTTGGAAGGAAGCCCCAATTCGTCGACTCTTACGACATACTTGTTGGGAAGGGAGTGGGTCTATTATCCCCCCCCCCCACCCCACTATGAGGCTCCGTAACCCCCATGGGGATGTATGTTACATTTCGTTCTTGCCTCTCCGAAAGGTGCACTCCAACTTAGAAGGACACCCCCCCCCCCAC